GCTTCATCAGTCCATTCCTATAATTAATCAATGCATTAGAAGTTGCAAGAAATGGACGTCCTAAAATAAGAGGAAATGAATTACATACTTCAACAAGTTGTGTGTCCAAGACAATAAAATCCACAAGATAAATGAATTTATCGACTTGTACTAACACATCTTCAATTATTCCTCTAGGCACTTTTATAGATCTATCGGCAAGTAAAAGAGTTATAGAAGTTGGTTTTAACTCACCTAGATTGAGACTTTGAAAAACTGAATATGGAAGTAAATTCACACTAGCACCGAGATCAAGTAAGGCTCTTTCAATTTTATGCTCTTCAATAAAGTAAGAAATTGTAGGACAACCAGGGTCTTTATATTTCAAAGCATTATTGTTTTGAAGAATAGCACTTACTTGTTCGGCTAGAAAGGCTTTCTTTTTCACATTCAGTTTCCTCTTCACAGTGCATAGATCTTTCAAAAATTTAGCATAGGAAGGAACTTGTTTAATAGCATCCAGCAAAGGTATATTGATCCTTACCTGTTTGAAAATTTCAAAAATTTCAGAGTTGTGATTGACTTTCCTTTGTTTGGTCATGGCTTGAGGAAATGGAAGTGCTGGTGGTGAATCAGTCGTTTCTTTGCAATTTTCAGATTCAACCCCTTCCTTACCCTTAGAGATTGACTCATCATCTTTCTCATAAGGTTCAAGAGAGGGTTTTTTAATAACCTTACCACTGCGCAGAGTAGTGACTGATTTGACTTGATCCATGTGTTGGCTTCCGGAACTACTTGCATTTGCATTGTATTGCCCCTTGGGATTTTGTTATGGTTGATATGGAAACTTACCTTTCTCTTGGAAACTGAGAGCAGATGTTAATTTTGCAAGAGTATCTTTAAAATCTGTCATGTTTTGAGCAAGTTGAGTATTGATTGTCTCTTGCTTTTCAATCAATGCATGCAATGTTTCCTCAAGATTTCTTCTAGGAGGTGGAGCATAAGGAGGTGCATATCCACTAGAATTTTGGAAATTGTGGTGTGCTTGAAACGGTGGTTGTGAAGTTTGTGCATTGTTGTTCTCACTCTTCCAACTAAAATTTGGATGATTTCTCCAACCAGGGTTGTATGTTTGTGAGTATGGGTTGTGGTTGGGCCTTTGAAGACTGTTTAAAGCATGGGCTTGTTCATGGAGACATTCCTTAAAAGAAGGCAAGGTTAGACAATCATTGGTTGAGTGTTCATTTGTTTCACATATTTGACATGCAATGTTTTCAACACATTTTAATTGACGATTTGACACACAATGTTTTCAACAGATTTTAATTGACCACTCTTTTTCAATTCTAGTGCCTCGACTTTTCTAGCTAAAGATGCAAACTTGGCTTGAAGGTTATGATCTTCCCTAAGGTTGTACATACATCCACTAGATGCATGAGGTTGAATTTTACTCGGTGCCTCATAAGTACCCGCGGTGTCCCAATTTTGAGCATTTTCAGCTAACAAGTCTAAGTACTCCATTGCTTCATCAGGGTCTTTATCTTCAAAAGTTCCATTGCACATCAATTCAACCATTTGCCTATCTTTAGGTGTTAACCCTTCATAGAAATGTGAAATCAATCTCCATGTTTCAAACCATGATGAGGGCAAGTACTAAGCAAGTCTCGATACCTATCCCAACATTGGTAAAATGTTTCTCCTGGTTTTTGAGTGAAAGTGGTGATTTGTCTTTTGAAAGAGTTTGTTATATGAGATGGGAAAAACTTCTTCAAAAACTGTTGTTGCATTTCATCCCTAGCACGAATGGATCCTGGTCTTAAATTTTGTAGCCATGTTTTAGCTTTATCTTTTAATGAAAAAGAAAAAAGCTTTAATCTGATGGTGTTCATGCTACAATTTAAATTATTATGTGTTGCAAACCTCCTCAAATTCCCTTAAATACAAGTATGGATTTTCCAATTCTAAGCCATGAAAAAAAGGGTGGTTAGAGATTTTAATCATGCCATGAAAAGTAGATCAAAACCCATAATTTTTATTTTTTTTTTAGATTTAATGATTATTAAAGGGTGTTAAGGTTCGTGAATTTTCTTATAAATGTGTGTTTTTAGGTGAAAAATAGGTTGAGATTTTGATTTTAGAATTCAAATTACTTGGACCCTAATTTTGTTATTATAGATGTTACATTATTTATCCAAATAGATGACATATTATCTATTTTTTTAAATAAAAAACTCAAGCAAACAATATATTATTAAATGTCGTCCGCTTGAGTTAAAAAACAAGCATGCAAACCTAGATTTTTTTCTTATTAGGCCAGACATGGGGGCATGGTTTTACAAGTATGTGTGCACTTGGATTAGCCCTTCCCCTTTTTTTTTTTACATTTTTATTATTTAAAAGAAATTATTGTTAAATAAAACAATTATATTATTATTTTAAAAATAATATAATCATACTATAGTTTTCAAATAAAATTAAAGGTTAGTTTTTGGAGTTTTTAATGGTTATGTTAGCAATTACTTTATGAATTGTTCTATATGAAACTAATATGCATTATTATTTTAAAAACAAAAGTCTCATGTGTATTCAATGAGAATAAAATGCCTAAACTTTTATTATGAAGTTCTTATAGAATTTCCTCAAATTATTCCTTTTTTTTCGCATGGTAGCATAATTCTTCTTATTTAAATTCACTTTTCAAGTAATAATAAGCCTTTATTAAAAAAAAAACATGCTATTAACAAATATATATTTGAAAAAAAATACATAAGCAAACGAGTAATTTTTAAGTAGATAAACCTGTTGAAGCCATTCATAAAAAAAAAAAATTATTTCTTAGAGAAATTGTCTTGATAGTTTCTTGGAAAAGAAATATTTTCATGTGAATAATATTATTTTTATTTTGTTATGAAAATAATTTATCTTTTATAATAAATTTTTTTTATATAGATTAAATATACAGGTTTAAGGGCATACACCAATTTCTTTTAAACTATAAAATTTTAAAATTGAATAACATTATTTTATTTCCTTGGATAAAATAAAAACTAACATGTAGCGCAAATAATTAAGTTAGTAGTCTACCAAACAGAATAGGAAAATCAAGCGGCAACCATTTCTCAAGAACAAAATGCTGAATGGTCAACTCGTGAGCTCACAAACGATCCCAAATCAAAATTGCAGTATGGGCCTCCTTAGGTACCTTAGCGCTTTAGTCCAATGGGCTTGTAATACATGACACTCCATCTCTCCTTGTGCCCCACGTCGTGGAGCAGGCTCCTTATCAAATTGAAAAAAGAAAAAGAAAAAAGTGGGATACACCCTTTGCTTCCAACCAATAGCAAAACAGTTTATTGCGAAGTCTTTTCTTCTGACTCGTCAACACAACAACAAAATACTATACAAACTCTTGCTTTAATCCTAAAAAGAAAAGTTCAATTAAATAAAATCATTTCTACAAATAATTCTAAATTGACTTGTACTTTGTATAAAGCTTTCAAGAGTATTTAGTAGGATAAATAAAGATAAATTATTTTGATGTATTTTTAACTATATAAAAATCAGTTCCACCACCTCATCAATTCCATCCAAGTTCTTCATCCGCTTCTCAGCCATTATCAATTCACAAAAACCATCATTACTCTCCCTCGTTAACCGATAAGTACCGTCCATCAATGTTTACCATCGCACGGAAAACTACTTAAGAACTTTTTTGCTGGAAGAATGAAGCAGCTAAATTATTGCACCTTGGCTTTCGAATACTGATAGGATAAGCAGGATCACTATACCGATGGGGTCCCACTTGTCAACTGGCCGGTGTAGGAAGCCTGAAATCCACTTTGAGAAAAGTGACGTGCCTCGCACACGAGGGAAATAGAAAGTGAGAGAGTGGGGCACGTGGTTCTCGATTCTCGTCTCTTTTCTAGTGGTAGCGGGCAGCGCACCAACTTTGTCGTACGATAATTGATATAAGCAAGAGCATCAGCATCCTCAAATGGCATCATGATGTGTACAGCACCCACCCCATTATCAGAATTTCTTACATTATAAAAAAAAATTATTACTAGCTAGTTATTTTTTTCATAAATTGCTATTAAATTATGAATGTGGTTCATTTTTTATAAGTCGCTGATATTAACCTATGTAACAACCAACAAAAGAAAATAAAAAATAGCAACCAGGGTAAGGCCTTTTCCAGAGTGAGTTTCCACTTGTTTTTTTGTTAAAATATAATATTTTTTTAAAATTAAATTTTTTAATGTTTTTAAATTATTTTAAAATGTTAATATTTTTTTAAAAAAATTGCGTTTCTGTTCTGTTGGCAAAGCACATGAGCCCGAGCAACTCAATTTACAGCTGCGGCCACGTGCATGACAACCAAACCTAAATTGCTTTATATTTTTCAAAGTTTCCAGACATAAACTAAAAACAAACAACCAGTAAAACAAGACCACATCACCATTACCATTACCATTACCATTGAAGCCAGACAAAGCAACTGCCCCGAAACCTTCTACGTTACTTTTTCCAATCTCTGTCTCTCGCACTCACTCCCTCACTCAGAGAGTGTCTCCCTCGCAAGGTCAAGGATATCAAGATGGGAATTCAGATCCAGATCATCAAGTAAATCGCAATTATAACTAGATGGGAAGTACAAAGCACCTAGTAATTAAACAAAAGATAAGACTAATAAAAATGATTTGAATACATGATGAGCAATCAATGACAATAATCACATCTCGACCGTCAAAATAAACCAAAGGAGCCACCATCACCGTCCATAAATAAAATTACAAAACGACTCAAAATAATAACAATAATAAATCCCTACTAAAATGAAACATTGATAAAAATGATAATAATAATCAACATCCGATCCATGACCAGATCTCCTACATCAACAAAGACCACACACCAGCCACTCCAATCAAAGCAGCAGCCATCGTGGCTCTGTTCAAGCCATCCGCGTTTGAAGGAGATGGAGGAGAAGCGGTGTCACTTGGAGGATTGGCTATGGAGCCACCACCAGTACCAGGGGCCAAGGGAGAAGGTGGTGAGCTGGCTGGAGACGAAGAAGGAGATGTGGATGGAGCGGTAGCAGGAGTTGGAGCAGGGACTGTTGGAGCGGGAGTTGGAGCGGGAGGTGGAGTTGTAGGTGCAGCGGGTGCAGGAGATGGTGATTTGGTTGGTGGAGCTGTCGGTGCGGCTCCTGGTGCCTGAGCCAAGGCTGAACCAGCTAAGAGAGCCAAAAGCATCAAGCACACCAAGGTTTTGGAAGCCATTGTTATTGAAAGGTGTCAAGTAGAGGGAGAAAAGAAGACAAGAAGAGAGAGGCGGACAATGTGGTATTTATACAGAGAAAGGAGGATTATGGTTTAAGGTTTTTAGTCGGTTCAAGGGACAAGGCACTTTCCTTTTGTTTCTTTCAATTTGTGAAATCGCAACTGAGCACCCGTCTGGTTCCTCATTAGAGAGGCGAAGAGTGTAATTTTGACGGAGATTAATGACAGCCGTTAAATCATTTGATGATTCGAAAACGCGTTGATTCTAAGCTTGTCTAATTTTTATTTAAAAAAAAAAAAACCGATCCAGCAGCGCAAATAAGGACTAACTAATAAAGAAAGGTGGAGAGTTTAGTTTGACGTAGTATACAGATGGGTTGCTGATCTGGCAAATTTCTTTTTAAATAAAAAAATGAAAGGAAAATAAATTATCTCAGTGAAGTTTTAATTAATTATGAACAAATATTCTGCAAACCTTTATGGTTAGCACGTTGTCGCTTCATTTTTCTACTCCATGTAGCAGGTTCTTTTTTGTCGTTGGGGTGTGATCTGTCTCGCTTTCAGTGGATAAAATAAAAAAACCAATCAGCTTATTCTATTGTGTGATATTCGATGCCAAATTCTTATCGATTTTTTTTTATTTTCTTCATTATTGGGATTTAACTTGCTAGCATAGTAATAGCAGCACCCTAAAAGGCTTGCCAATTATTAGTTTCAAGTAATAATTATATTATATTATATTTTTTGTCTTGGACCCACCTTTATTTTTAGTGACCTGTATACAAAATATTAGGCTTGCGCACATCTTGGTGGACGGCTCCTTTATATAGTTCGTTCAAATTATTATTATTATTATTATTATTATTATTATTATCAGACATGTGCACCAACAATACAAAAACCCCCGATGAGAACGGACAGTTAACTAGGGTCTGGCCATCTGGACAGCAACTTTGATGATTTGTTTTTCCATTTTAACAACCGACAATAAAAATTCAATCTTGGCGATGTTAAATTAATCTAATAAAATATGATTTTTTTTAACTCGTTAATGATTCAAAGTCTAATACTACTCTTGCAGCCAAATCATTAAAAACAAATATAAAAATCAATTGAAACACTATAATATAATAATTATTTCACTCTTCTGAAGCAAAATTAATTAACTTGCTAGTGGAGGAATTTAAAATATTTTCTATATAATTTATTTAATATTATTATATTGATTGGGGGTAAATTAATTTGTTAAGGAATCCCTTTAAAAACAAAAAGTTTTAGATTATTTTCAAAGGTTTTTTTTCATATTTTTTTCACTTTTTAAAACACAATTAAATAATTATATTACTTTTAAAATTAAAAATTTTATCTGTTTATTATTTTTTTATTATTAAGTTTATTTTAGATTTGATAATATAATAAATATAAATATTATTTTTATAAAAGATAATGGTTAATATGTGTAGTACATGTGTTTGCATTTTTTGATAAGGTGTAATGTCCATGATGAAGTGATGGTGAGTCTTCTATTAATTTTTTATTTTTCTTTTAGTATAATATTAGTTGTTATTTTTTATAGTTAATTAATTGTTATTTTTTATCACTTTTATTTATTACCAATATTTTTTATTATATTATTCAATTTATTAAATTCAATGAAGTTAATAATTTAATTCTAATATTTTTATAGTTTTCTCAAATACATTGACAAAACTCTGAATATCATTTATTTAACTTGTCTAATAGCATAACACAGTTCATCTATTCACTACGGGTCATCTATACTAGCACAAACTAATTAATACGGTCGATTACTTTATTTATATTTTGCTGAACATTTAATAGTTATGAGATTAATAATTAACTATTTATCACTTGTCGTGTGTTTAATTTAAAGATAATTTGTTTGTATATATAGTTTGTTTTATGTGTATGCGATGTAATTCTAAATATATTACAAAAAACCAAATTCTCCTTAATGAATTAACTATTTTAATTCTCTATATATATTTGGTTTTATAAAATAAAATTTAATTTTTTAATTCATAATTTTAGGAGCTATATCTAAGAATTTGATAAATATTAAGCCCCTTTAATTTTCATCCTATAAGAATTAGGTTGCATAGTCAAGGAAGAATATTGTCTTCTTTTTTGTTGTTCTTTTTTATATATATAATTTGATCCTTCCATGCTTTTTTGTTTTGTTTTTTGAGTTGTCTTAATAATTAGTTTTAGTTGTTTAGGTATAAGATTCACACAATGTTCAAAAAAAGATTCATAAAATGTTTTAGATTCATTTTAATTTTGTATTTTTTTTTATTTTTTGGGTTATTTCAAGTTATAAAACGAGTTTATCAAGGTTTGATATTATGAATAAATATGAGTTGAAAAATATCAAATAACCATACATTAATGTTTCAATGGTTTTCTAGTTGCTAGAAACTAAGGTTGTAAATGACCGGTCATTTACTTTTAGGAAACAAATTGGCAAGGCAAACGATATTTAGATGGCCATCACTTTTGTTTTGTCCTTGATTTTGGGTTAGGAACAATTCCATTAGGACTATGCTCATATGCTATTTTTTGAAAAGGCTTTCCTTTATTTATTTTAAAAAAATCTTTATTGAAATAAAATTAAAGAGTTTTTTTTTAATATACACCAATAATTCTTTTTTTAAAATTATACTAGGAATAAAATAATTCCTTAACTTAAAAAAAAATATATTTTGCTTTTAATATAGTTATCTAAGTTTTATTATCTAAATTATAAGTTTGTTAAGTTAATTCTAAATAACTCACTGTCTTTTTTTTTTAATTTGTCTTTTAATTTTATGTGTTAATAATAAGTTAGTTAAGAAGTGACTTTTAACTTTTGTTTTTTTTTATTTTATCTTTAAGGTAAACTCATTCTCGTGAATCGAATGACAAGTTTAATATGCTTCCATAAATTTACTCGAGTTGCTTTATATGAATTTTATTTTAAATTAATATTAATTTTATATAATATAAAATTTAATTTTGGTGTTAATAAGTTTTATTTTATGGAAGGGTTATATTTAGGTGTTTTTTATCTTTTTCATTGCTTGAAAAAATATATCTAAACTTGAAAAGTATGGTAGATTCAAGTTGATTTTGAGTTTGTAAATCAATTCTTAAGTTATTTCAAGTTATAAATTAGTTTATTAGAATTTTTAAGATATTTTTATAGGTGTTTTGAATTAAAAAAAAATTGAAAAGCATCAAATACTCATTTGCTAATTTTTCGATGACCGTTAAGTTGCTGTATGCTTGGATTGTAAACGACAGGTCATTTGCTTTTAAGAAAAAGTTGACTAGGCCAGCGATATGTAAATGCAAGGTATGCCAGGTTGTCCTTGATTTTGGGTCGGGAACAATTCCATTAGAGCCACACTTCAATGCTACTTTTTGAAAGGGATTTTTTTTATTTATTAAAAAAAAACTATATTTAAATAAAGTCAAAGAGTTTATTTAAAAAGGAATATACAACAACATTTTTTTTTTAAGATTATAATGGATAAAAAAAATATCACTTGACTTAAAAAATAATATCATCTTTTTTTTTTAGTTTGCTTTCTATATTATCTAAATCTTATTATCTAAGTCACAAATTAGTAAATTAATTCAAGTTTACTTATTTTTTTTAAATAAATTTAAAGAGGCTTTTTTTTTAAAATATACCCCAATAATTTTTTTAAGATTATACTATGATAAAAAAATATCGCTTAACTTTTTTTTTAAAAAAAACATAACTATTTTTAGTTTGGTTTCTATATTTATTTAGGTCTTATTACCTAACTTACAAGTTTAACAAGTTAGACTTTTGTATTTTTTGTATTTTTTTATAAGATAATATTATTTTTATGACTCGAGTTTTGAGTTTAGCATGTTTATCTAGATTTAATCGAGTTACTTTTTATGGGTCTTTTTTTTTTAAATTAAATTTTCATTTTTATTTTAGTTCTTCAATATTTGGTTAATTAAAAATGAGATTCCTAATTTATTTCAATTTATATTTTTATAAGTTTGTCATGATTTCATAAGCCGGTCATGGTTTGTTACAAGTTAACTAGGATTGACTCGAATTGACTCGAATTGATCTAATATGTTGGCATCTAGTATGTGATGTGAAATTCATGATCATGTGGTATTCACTATAAGATTGACAATAAATCTTGTGTAAATATAATATGTTTGATAGGAGAGACACAATAAAAACTTGTCATAAGATATTTGTATTATTAAAATAAAACTTACATTCTAGAAATACCAATTCATGAACAAGAAGTATAAAAAAAGTATTATGAAATCAGTTAATCTTCGATAAATTAATTTAGTTAATTAGAGAACCAAAAAATACAATAACCCACTTAATATTTTATCATTATAAAATGAGTATTTATACTTTTAAAAATAAAAAAGCTAATAAAAAAAGGGTTTCTCCAATAAAAAAAGAGTAATTTGGTTAGAGTTAATACAAGAAAAAAGAAATGGTTTCTTCACTAAAAAAAAACGCAGCTTGTTGATTTTGTTTTCTAACTGGAGACCTCGAGGATAGAGTAATTTTCTTTGTTTTTAACCAAATGGGTTTGAGTTGATCTTTAGACAAAAACACCATAGAAGTCAACTCCACTGTTGGAGCCGAATGGTGTGCTAGATCAAGTCTTCCAATCCAAGTGATTTAATCGATACACACTTTAAGTCAAAAGCAGTAGTCCTGTGCAGAAAGAACCGAAGGTTCTGATGAGATAACCTGTCATTCAGGATAACACAAAATTGGAACAAGACGGCAGGTACAGGGGCTTGTAGCATAATTATGATGGACGCTCCGTTCGGCCAGCCCTTCTCAAGTGATCAATGGGAGATGGACCTTGTCAATCCGTATGGGCATTTCCCAAACCGAAATGACATTTAGACAACTTGTCATCGAGCCCTCAAGTCAATTCCAGCTCTCCTGGACAACATCAAGGGCCTTAAAACGACAA